GATTCAATTGAATATTCCTTTTCAAGAGACTTTTTAGATTTAATTTATTGGTTTTATTTTATTGTCTTTCTTTTTTCTTTTTTTTTTCTTTTTTTTTCTTTTCAAATTGCAAAAATACAAGCGGAGAGACTTTTAGTTCACCCGATATATATATATATATATATAAAGACGTATGTACGCAAGTATATCATATTCACCCCTACAGAAAATGTATCTAAAGTGACATGGTACCACCTTACACCCGACAAAGATTTATATTATATATTAAGATTTATAAGATTTTTCTATTTTCTGACTTCAATGTTTCAAACTGACATACGTCGTAATATTTCTTAAATTCGAACAAGAAATATGTGTATATACATATATATACATATATATATGTATATATATATATATATATATATATATATAATTTATGACTATACGTATGCGACAAAGAAAGATAAATAAAGAAAGAAAAAATAAAGATTTTATCGTTATCAAAATTGAGTATATTATTGAAATAAAAAACTTAGTAATTAAAATAAAGTACATTCTCTAACAACTCTTCGTTTTAATCTATAATCTAAAAACTCTACTAATATATATATTTATATATTTAAACTCGACAATAATCGATCGTTCATAAACATCGTGACGAACGTTTACGTTGATTTTAATCATGTTTATTTTTTTTCCTCATTTTCTCCTTTTTCTCTTTCTCTCTTTCTTTCTCTTTTTTTTTTTTTTTTTTTTTTAAATCATCTCATCCGAACGTTAACATATCTTTATCGATTTTTATCTCTCCGACTTATATTCTATTTTTATCCGATGTTTATTTTTTTTTTCTTCTTCTTCTTTTTCCAGGGAAAAGAAGAAGAAAAAAAAAGAGTAAAAACGAAAAAAAGAAAGGAAAACAATATAAAAATATATCATCGAGTAATTCCAAACACGTACTAAAATCTTCCTTACTACTCACCACTACATTGTATTAAAATACATCTATCTATCTATATATATGTATATACACACCATATATATATATATACATGTGTGTGTGTGGTATGTGTGGTATATGTGTTTTCGATGAAGGTATATGATACTTAATACGATATCGCATTTCGTTTCGTGGAAATCTTTTACAATATCGTTATGCGTATGGCGTTCGAACGTATCCTGCGTCATTAGTGTGTATTAGATGCGTTTGAATAACGTCGCCCTTTCCAAACTCGCCCTTAATTTTATCAGATTTTCTATTTCTTTTTATTTTTCTTTTTCTTTCTTTTTTTTTTTTAACTTCCTTCCTTTTTTTCTTCTTTGTATCTTCTTGAAAGTTGATTAATATAATTCGTTTTTCACGAAGAAACGATCACGTTTACGACATTCTAGTCGACGTTCGATGAGAACAAATAAATAAATAAATAAATAAATAAGTAAATAAAAAAATTTCCTATTTCGCGAGAAAGGCGATGGTCGATCGTATTACCCATTTTTCTTTACCCCCCTCAACCCTCCGTTTCTTTTTTTCTTTTGATCTTTTTTCTTTCTTTTATTATTTCATTTATTTTTTTATTTCCACCCCCCTAAAAGTTGAGGTTATATATATATATATATATATATATATATATATATATGAGATCGTTTACGTACCACATATGAAATATGTTTAATTTTGATAATATGAATATATAATGTGATCAAAACACTTGTAGGTTACTTATGTACGAACTTTAATATTTGTAAAACGTATATACATACATACAACATATATATATATATATTATATACGCAAGCGTATTTCTTTCATAGGTGAAAAATAATACGTAAAAGAATATGAGACAGACAGAGACAAAGAGAGAAAGAGAGAGAGAGAGAGAGAGAGAGAGAGAGAGAGAGAAAGAGAGAGAGAGAGAGAAGAGAGAGAGAGACAGAAAGCACACACGTCGAAAAAAAGGAGCTATTTCCCGTTTCGAGGCTACGCATACGTAAGTGCATACATACATACATACATACATCATACATACATACATACATATATACATATATACATATTCACGTCGAATGCGACAACTTCGCGAATCGAGTGACGCGTCGATCGGAACAGACCGAGAGAGAGCAAGAGAGAGAGAAAGAAAGAGAGGGGGGAGAGAGAGAGAGAGAGAGAGAAAAAGAAGGATGCTGTCATTCTTGACACCTCCATCGTCCTTTGTTCGTTTTCTACCCATCGCACTCACGGAATCGCACATTGACATCTCTGCCATTCAGTAATACATCACGAATTCATCTAACTAATAAAAGAAAAGATTTATATATCCGATAATATATTACAATACATATAATCTCTCTATCTCTCTCTTTCTACATATATATATATATACTCTTATCGAAAACTCTTATTACAGGACTTTTTGTACAAAAAAAAAAGATAATATATACATATATATAAAAAAAAATCCGAGAGAGAGAGAGAGAAAGAGAGAGAGAGAGAGAGAAAAGAGAGAGAGAGAGAGAGAGAGAAAGAGAGAGAGAGAGCAAAATATCAAGGGATTAAATTAGGCCGAATAAAAAATCACGTTTAACACGTACGAATTGTACAAATGAAAACTATTATTCGCGAAAATGCGAAGAGTTGTTGGTATACAAGAAAAATTGAAAAAATTAACAAATGAAAAAAAAAAAAAAAAAAAAAAAGGAAAAAAGGGGAAAAGAAAAAAGAAAAAATCAAAACGACGAAAGAAAAATGAACGAAAAAGAAAGAAAAAAAAAAAATAAAAGAAAAACAAGAGAAAAAAGGAAAGAAAAAAATGTGTCCGTCAATTTGAAACCGAACGACGTCCAATAAAAGAGAATGTTACTGGTATTGTAAAACCTCGATTTATATCTACATAATACATATACATATATATATATATATATATATATCTTTTCTTGTATATTCGTAACGACGTTGTGTGCTTCGTAGCTTCGTTTTATGTAGAGAACCCCCAAAGAGCGCGTGTTTCCCCCGTCGTCGGGCCGACGACGTCGAGCAAAGGGAATCGATCCAACGCGCTAATATCTCTCTCTCTCTCTCTCTTACTCTCACTCTCTCTCTCTCTCTTTCTCTCTCTCACCCTTCTGGACATCGGGGATACACGAATCAGGCGATCCGACATAAGACTGACTTTTTTCATATATATATATATATATATATAGGACCTTACATGGCGTAAAAGATAGAATTCAAAATCAACGACGTTTCTATTACATATACGCCTCTCCTCCTCCTTTTCCTCCTCCTCCACCTCCTCATCCGCCTTCTCTTCATCCTTCTCTACCACCACATCATCTTTCTCAACACACGTATGTACTCTCTTTCTCGCTCTCTCTCTCTTTCTCTCTTTTTTCTTCCTTCCTTCCTTCCTTCCTTCCTTTTTTCTTCTCTTTATATTTCTCTCTCTCTCTCTCTCTCTCTCTCTCTCTATCTCTTTCTCTTTCTCTCTCATTCCGAAGAAACGACACACGGTATCGAAAGTATTCAATTAATTATTCTCCTTTTCTTTTCTTTTCTTTTCTTTTCTTTTTTCTCTTCATCTTCTTCTCCTTTCTTTTTCTGCTTTTTCTTTTTCTTTTTTTGTTCTTTTAAAGAGCAATTATCATAAAATTTACCTTTATCTATCTCCTTCCCCCCAAAGGCATACACTGGTCACTTTATTAAGGCACGGGTGCACTGGCTCGATCGGCTGCCACTGAAACGCCGCAATTATACGGGAAAGTACGAGCGCGGTTTATGCACGACGGGTGTTTCGAGGGTGGCCGGGTACTGAACGAATAGATGGCGCCCTTGCTAGCCAACGCGCGCCACCCCCTTTTCACTCGGGCTTTCTCGGTCGACGAAATTTCTACCCGAGAGACCTATCCCTTTCTCTTTCTCACTCTCGCCCGTTCTCACACTCTTTCTCTCTCTCTCTCTCTTTACACTCCTACTCCACCACCTCTCTTCCTCCTCCTCCTCCTCCTCTTCCTCTTCCTTCTTCTTCTTCTTCTTCTTCTTCTATCTACCACCCCTACCACTATCTCGACCACTACCACCACCACCACCACCACCACCACCATTTTGCTGTTTCCCTTATTATAGCTATGATAAATTTACCAAGTACGCCCATTCGCGCCATCAAGTATGTCATCAGCGCCTCCATGCGTCGGTTTTTACATCTAACTTGCCAATCGTCCTACGATTCGCTCTCATCATATTTCCCTTCCTTATCCTCGGATTACCTTCTTTTCTTTCTTATATTTCTTTTTTATCCCTAACTTAATTTTAATTAAATTATTTTTCAATCTTTGTTCGGAAATTGTCAACGTTGGTTGTAATATTTCTTTTCAATAATTTCAAGATAGTCGAACATCGTAAAATTACTAAATTAAAATACACCAATCGTGTAGCAGCTATGGACGGTATTATTTTCTATAAACGTTGTTCATTCGTCGAATTTTTTTTTCGTTTTTTGTTCTTTTTCTTTTTTTTATTTTTGTCCTTCCTAATGTTCCATTAAAATTAATTAATATGATATAATATTTCTTTTGATATAGTAATTTAATATTGAATATATATATATATATACACGATATTTCGATAATGAAATACGTCGATCGCATCTTAACAATGGAGGAAACGTTTATCTATGGTAGATTTTCATTGGTCGAATTTTCTATGTATCCAATCATTATCTTTTTCGCTTTCACAAATTTTTTATTCACTGTTATTATATCCTAGGGACTTTTTTTAAGGAATCATTTGCATTGCTGAAACACCTAGAAAAAAGTGCATAAATCGAATTTTATTTTTACTTTTCCGAATTAAAATCAATTTTGGTATATATAATTATTTATTTCTTATAAAAATTAGTATATTAATGAAATCAATTAAACTGAAGTTATCGTCACGAGTTCGTAGTAATAAATTGTGCATAACTTCACTTAGTACATAGTATAACGAGCAAAGCTGATTGGCGGAATCTCTTATCCCCACCTTTTCTTTTCTCCTACCATACCGGCATCCTCAAGCGTCCTTCGTTGTCTTTTAATGTACGTAATACGTAATTACAAAAGAAAGATAAGTTTGTGTATATATATTTTTTGTTTGTAAAAACGGCGAACATATTTCTATTTATAATTAATGGAATTAATTGATATTTTCGTAGAAATACAATCGATGTAAATAAACGTAAGTGTGAATTTTTTTCTTCTAATAATATTACTGAAGAACATAACCTCTAGAAAAACAAATAAAATAATTTTTGTTGTTTTTTATTACCAGATCTTTATTATATCTGCCGATTATTCAACTAACAGATTTGACAAAATGGTTTGTGAAAAGTGTGAAAAGAAATTGGGAAAAGTTATTACACCAGATCCATGGAAATCTGGTGCTAGAAATACAGTGGAAAGTGGTGGTCGAAAAGTTGGAGAAAATAAAGCCCTTTCAGCGAGCAAGGCACGATTCAATCCGTATACTGCAAAATTTGAGACTTGCAGAATATGCAGACAAAAGGTTCATCAAGTAGGTTCGCATTATTGTCAGTCATGCGCTTATAAAAAATCTATATGCGCGATGTGTGGTAAAAAGCTTATGAGTACAAAAAATTATAAGCAATCTGCTACGTAAAGTTAACAAGCTTTATAAAGAAATATCTTATGAAATAAGTGATCATATTTTTATATGTATAAAATGATACATATGGAAAACAGAAGAAAATACGAAAAGTATTTTCGAAACTATCCTTAATGTCTTCTAATTACAAATAATATGTGACTTATGTATTTGTATATACATGAAATATTTTAGTTTGGTAATATTTCATCTTTTTAAAAGTTTATTTAAGTATTTTGTTAATATAACCAATGACTGAATATTAAACGTATTAATACTTCTATATATTAGCATGCACAAATTTAAATGTTATTATACAAAACAGAAATGAACAATGATAAAATTTAGAATTAAAAATAATCAAAAATGGTTTCTGTGTTATAAAAAAAAAAAAAAGAAAAAAAAAAAGATTTCTTTATCTTAATCTTTTATAATATTGTCATATCATACTCTTTTGACGTGTTTATATCTAAATACCTATGCACACAGACAAGTACAATAAGAGGTAGTAATATAAGTTTGCATTGTATTTGGATTTTATCATAATATATATATATATATATACATATATATATATGTATATATATATATGTATATATACTTGTTTTATATCTGTGATATTAAAAATCTTATAATTATGTTATAAGTGATAATACTTATTTAATCCTTTAACACTTTAATTGTATATTATATTCTATAAGACATATTTTGTTTAAATTTTCTTTTCAGTTCATATAAAATTATTTCGTTCAATGAGAGCAAATTATATTATTAAATTTAGATAACTACTACAGTATAGTAAAAGTTGAATTATATGTTATTTGTTTAGTTTTCAAAAAATAACAATATTGTTACAAAAAACAACTTGTGTAAAGTATAAAAATATATATTCTATTGCACCAACTTTTATATCTAAAGAAAAATGTACACTTTGTTAATTAAAAATTTATACATATTTTAATGAGTTATGTTATAAACAAAATTAATATATCCGTTGTGCAAAATAAATTACTATATAGCATTTATCTTTTTTTTTTTGTCGAATATTAATAACATGTTTGTATAACATAAAAAATGTGATCTTTTTTGATGTACCAATGTAATTAATTAAAAAAAAAATATATATATATATATATTGACAATTGATATTCTAAAAAATAATCGTTATAAAATGCAATCAAACATAAAACATACTCATTTTTTTTATCTTCTTATACATTTTGAGTATTTACTTTTTCTGAATAAGTAATGAGTAGTCATAGATAGAATTTGTTACAGCTTAAATCTTTTCGCTTTTTTTTTTACATTTGTAATCAATATCTATCTTCTTATTTTAAAATGCAAAATATAACTATATCTTTGCATTATTCTCTATATATAACTCTATATCAACAGCAGCAATATATTTTCATTTCTGGTTTACACTTATTTACATCATTTTATTTTGTTGCTAATCATATAATACAGTATGTTTTTTTTTTCCATAATTGGTATATTAATGGGAAACAATTTTTCTTTGATAAATTTTCTATCTTTTCTCTTTCTTTGTTTAGATAGATAGAAAATATTTTTAATTAAGAAGAAAAAAAATTAATTATAAAATAATGTATGATTTTGCAACCCTATATAAGAAATTAAAATTGATCAAATAAAAATATAATGGAACTTATAAACTATAAACCCCATTACCAATATTGAAAAGAATAGCTGTACAAACTAATCTCATTTACAGATCATTCTCTTAAAATTTGACTTTGTTGACACCATAAAAACTTGTATACTTAATATATAGGAAACAAAAGATTTGATTATACAAATGTTGTTATTAAATTCTTAAAAAAATAGATTCATTTAAAATTGTAATCAATATATATATGTACATAATATAATAATACTTAACAGAAATGCTTATATCAATAATTTGTGCAATTTTTCTGTGCACATTGTCTGTTAATTTTTTTTTTCTTTTTTTTTTTTTTTTAAATCAGATTTTTCTTTTTTTCAATAATTTTTCAAAATCTAATATCTCCTGTGTTCTATACACTTATTCATTGCCACATAAACGATTACTTATGGCACATGACATTATTATTTATTTTCATGTCTTTTTTTGTGTGCCCAATATTTTTTACATATATTTTCTAAACGTATCCTTCCTTTATATCTTCCTTTTACAAATCAGTCAATAAATAAAAGTTATCATTGATATTAAAACAAAAACTAAAACAGAAAAAAAGACTTAAATTATTTAATACTAAGTACCATTAGAAATAAAATATAAAACCGTATATTGTTATTTCTTTCTTTTTTTTTTCGTTTTTTTTTATAAACAAGCAGCACTATTTCTACACGCATTTTTTTTTTATCTCGACTTGAAAGAATTTTTACATCTGAATACTTAATTAAAATATTTTTCATTGATCATTCTCACATGAGATTATTAAAACACTTTACACGCATTCGTACAGAAACTCATCATATAAATGCAGACTCTTATTATCGTGACTCAATATTATTTAAATACAAAAATATATTTCATTGTGCTAAAATATTATTTATCAATATTCTGTTCTCAGTTCTCATAAAGTATTTACTTTCAGATATTCGCATTCCTGAGTATACTTATGTTTTTTTTCTTTTAAGTATTTTTTTTTTCTTTTTTTTCTTTTTTTTCTTTTTTTTTTTTTTTTTTTTATGAAATAAACATTTGAGTACAGGCACCATGAGACGACATATCAATGATCATTATTTTTCACTAAGAAAATCTAATTAACATAATATTTTCAAATTTGTTACTATTTTTCCTTTACATATAATATTTTTACATTAATCCAATCTTTGATCATTATTGCATGATCTAAAAATATTAAATGAAATTTAAAATTTGTCCATCTCATTCAAAGATGTATTCTTACTGATGTATCATTTTATCATCCCCAGAAGATAACATAATATTCGTAACAGATTGTGGTTGACTACTACCATTGCCCCATCGATTTTGATCCTTATTATCACCTAAGAAGATCCAATGTTCAAACTTTTTATTAGCAGCTTCAGATTGTTTCTCATCAGCAAGATTGATATCAGAAGTTTGTGAATCCTTGCCAGTCGTAGATTTGTATTCCGAAACATAAACTACATGTTTCTCCGTTTTATCTTCTTTAGCCATTTTCGTTATGTCCGATCTTCTAGGAGGAACTGGTGGTTTTTTTCCAGATGTTGGTTTCCCATTGGATGTAACAGTGATCTCATGATGAGCTAACTTTCTAGCTTCTCCGTTATTATTTCCCATAACAGAGTGTACATCTTCGCTTTCATTGTCAAGATCATGAATATTGTCTCTGTTAGCTGAAACCTTGATTTCTGTAATATATGTCATCTTTTGTGGACTGTTTGGCATCGGTGTACTCGGTAAAGGTGGACGACTTTCTGATTCCTGTAAATTATAATCAATAGATTCCCTAACGAGTCCACTATCTTCACTATTCTCTCCACTGGAGACACTAACGTTACTGATATTATGTCTATCGTTATTAGGAGATGAGAGATTCTTGCTGTTGACTGTGACATTAGATCCAAATTCATACTCATCTTCTTCCTCCTCCTCTTCCTCCTCCTCCTCCTCCTCTTCTTCTTCTTCTTCTTCCTCTCTTTCGTCATTTCGTTCGAGTTTTTTATTATTAGAGACACTTACATTACGTTTTGTAAAATGCGACTCGAGCAATGATTCCGTAGGAGATTTGGACTTGACAGGTGAATATCTTTCACGTTGATCAGATTTCTCTTCGAATTTCGATCTATGCACGTGAAACGTTGAAATTGAATGTTCTTTATTATCGACATTGTACTCATTATTGGACTTAAGTCCTTGCGTTTTAGAAATTTCTGTTTCGGTTTTGGAAAAATGAACTTTGGAATGTGTTGGAGTGGATGATCGTCCAACGCTCAATTCTTTTACATTTATAGAATGAACAGGTTCGAAGCTTTTGTCTTCTAAGGTTGATTGCCTGCTACGTTCCTGGGTATCATTATGATACCTCTTGTCTTTAACAGATTCGATGGAATGTTTTTTACAGTTGTGCTCATGTTGTAAATGTTTTTCCTCACAACCACGACATTTTTTATCAACGAGAATCTTCGTTATTGGTTCTTCAATAATTGCCTTTTTACCAGCATAAAATGTCGCATCGTTTGACAAACGTGAACTTTCCTCTCTCCATTCGTCCAAACGCGTTAAATTAATTTTCGTAGATTCGTTAGAAATTGTCGGTGATTTACCGGCATGCATCTCAAAATAACGCAAGGCTCTATTGAAATCTTCATTGACGGGACTCTCGTCATAATCATTTTCCTCAATTACGACGACCTTATCGTCGTCATCGTCATCATTCGACAATGGTTTAGCTTGCCTGAAATCTAATTCCATTTCCTCCAACGTTGGACTCTTAACAACCATACCGTCGTTCACGATTCTAGCCAAAGAATTATCTTCGTCGGGATTGAACATTCTCTCGGCGTGTATAAATTCTTGGGTTAGACGTTTGCTAAGAGGCAAATTGTACAACTCTATACTCGTTTCATTAACATCAGCCTGAATATCGTCCAATCTTTCATTAGTTACCGGTGATAGTAATTCATCTTTCATTTTTATTTCTACAGCTGACTTTGATCTTTCTAACGTACTGTTACTCTTCTTACGTGTCCTTGGCTTTTTCGATCTATCATCTTCCTCTTCCTTAGTCCAAAGAACATCCTCCAAAGTGCCCCATTCGTTCGACTTCTTCAATTTACATTTATCAAAGGTATCAATCTGATCCAACTTGGTTAGATCCTCGGTCGACTCGTTTATATCCTCCGGTGGTAATGGGGCCTTCCTTTTTTTCGAACCGGTATCAGTCATATCAAGACTCTGAGCCCTTTCCAATGGGGTCGACGTTTTATTCTCGTACTTGGACAAATCACCTAGGCTCGCGGCCTTTCTGTAAACGTCATCTTCCTCGTCGTCGTTCACCTCGGGTACCGGTGTACGATGAATCGTTATATCAGCGGGATTCAACTCGATCGTGGTAAAACTATTCTGAACCTCGCTGTCCGTATCCGACTCGGAATTTCTTCTATGAACAATATTACTTTCGAGCCTGGATCTACGTAATTCCGTGTCATCCGTAATATCCCTTACTTTGTTCACATAATCGCTGAGGGATTCGGTATAATCTGCGATACTATCAATCGCGTCCTCTTTCTCATGATCGTGAGATCTAGACGTTGACACGATCTTTTTTATTGGCACGACAATGTCCGGCTGTTGATCTATGTTCGAATTATTAGCTTTCGGAGGTGCCGGTGCTTTTCTTTTATTTTTTGGTGGACTTTTAAGATCTTCGATGTCATTCGAATTATCCTGCGTAAAGACCTTCGGTGAATTCAATAACTCCGAACTGTTTTTCCTATTTCTACGAGCTGCCATTGCAGCATTGTGAACTTCAGCCGGTACCTCCGATGGTATTGTTATCGATTCGCTCGTAGATTTATCAGGATTGTCCAATACATCAATACCATTCATTTCCAAGTTACGCTTGTTTGATTTCAAAACATTCGAAAGATTTTCCGTACGCTGTTTTGGTTCCGTCGAACGTAATTTGTTAACATTTTCCGACGTCACGTCGGACGATACGTTAACAGTCGTACCGCTGGTAGACATGTATTTCTCAACGTCCATCTTTTTCGAATGCCTTCGTTCCAAATTCGTGTTATGCTCGTTCTGATTCTCGATACGGTGAACGGTACCGTCGAGGGCCGGCAATACCTTTATACCAAACTTATGATGATTGTTTTTCGCCTCGTCGTGACGTCTCTCCAAAGTATGACTACCAGGAGTCGATTTCGATGATTTCAACGTAGAATTCATCGTCGAATAATTCGAACCCACCGACTCGTTCGGATCGGCTATGAACAATCTTTTGGCTGAGCTCTTATGAGCCTGCGATAATTCCGGAATTGATTGACTTCTATAAAGCGGATGACATATTCTTGTTGGACTCGGACCTACTGTCTTTTTCAACAAGGTCGCTGGCTTTGAACCGGTACCACCGCTCTCTACTTCCAATTCAACGTCGTATGGTGATGCATAACTCAAAATCGTTAGAGCATCCTCGTAGACCATATTACGGAAGCTAATTTTCACGCTTGCTATCCGATCACCTGAGGAAATTAGAGAAAAATAATAATAATAATAATAATAATAATAATAATAATAATAATAATAATAATAATAATAATAATAATAATAAAAGAAATGATAAACGCACAACATGATTCATTTGTTAATGTATTTTTAACGCTTAAATGTATTCATAGGAAGTATCATATTTTCCATTTTCTATTGTAGATATATGCGTACATATATACACGTAGAATTAATGAAATTTCACTTTTTTTTTTATATGTAACAAAAAAAAGAAGAAGAAGAAGAGGAATCTAGGTATATAGACCATTTCTCACGGAAGAGAATAAAGGAGATTTAAATGACTCCAAGATAAAACCCTACGTGATATTACAATTTAATTGTGTTACCCGTTCGAAAGAAAGTATGTACGCCATTGTCTTGATATTCTCATTCCAAAAAAAAAGCGATCTGCTTTTTTTAAATATAAAAAAAAAAAAAAAAAAAAAAAAAAAAAAAAAAAAAAAAAAAAAAAAAAAAAACAACTGTATTTGCAATAAAACCAGATACATTTACTTATTCACATAACTATAAATTATAAATACAAGTCGAGATATTTATCACTGATCGATAAAAAAAAAAAAAAAAAAAAAAAAAAAAGAAAAAAAAAATAAGGAACGAACAAATATAAAAATATCTTTATAATGATTCTTCGTTCTATTTGATAATCACCGATTAATAATAAAATTTGTAATGATTTGTAATGAACCAATGAACCGATCCAATTAACCTGGATTAACATAGATTCGTTTGAGATTTAATTAACCTCTTCTTGACCAATCAATCCAAATTGATTTGTCAATATATTTTTCTGGAGGGAAAAAAAAACAAAAAAGGATAGAAAAATAATAATTACCAGGATGTATTCGGCCAGATTCTGAGGCTGGTCCACGATGTAGAAGATCTTTAACGAAGATCCCTTCTCTCATGTTTCCGCAAACGTTGAATCCAAGTCCGGTGAAATCTCGACTCCTTAGACTGACTACACTGACTCTGGTAGCTTTTGGCTGTTTAACACGTTAACGATGAAAATAAATCATTAAGAATAAAATATATTTAAATAAACATTTCTTTCCTTGCATAGATTTCTTTTACTGTTTTCCTTTTTTCTTTTTTCTTTTTTTTTTGTTTTTTGTTTTCTTTTTTCGGTCGCAATCGATAAAATTTAAAAAGATAATTAGGAGACGTCTTAGGTACATTACATTCTCGTTTCATGAAATTTTAGACGTAGATATTTCGAACGAGTCCTACGACCGATCGGCATCAATATCAACGACAAACGACCCTTATGTACATAATCTTGTATGTAGACACATATATACATACATACATACATATATAAATATATATATATATATATATATATATATATAAATATATATATGTATGGTATATAAGTTATCCAACATAACAACAATGGTCTCGTATAAACAGAGTTATGTTATCCTGATATATGCATGTATTGAAACACCGATGATGATGGTGGGGAGAATGAGGTGGGCGAAAGGGGTTCGTTTACACGTCATAATATCCGTGTGTTCCATTCGATACCTTATTCGATAATAATCGACACCGATTTTACATAAATTTTTTTTCCTACTCTCTCTCTCTCTTTCTCTTTCTTTTCTTTTTTTTTTTTTTTATTACTTCATTAGCTCGATGAAATCTGATGTTAACGAGCATCCTATAACAAAGCAACGTCGAGGGCCGATTGTATTAAACGATCGTTTTATTATTTTCTTATTTAGAGAAAGAAAAGGAAAAAAGGAAAAAAATAAAAAAGAAAAAAAAATATAAGTAGAGCTTACACCAAGGCACGAGTCGTCTAAGGTTCTCCTTTTATCGTTACGATTGGTCGAGCCAATTCCCAACGACGTCCATGGTGTCGACCAACGTGTCGAATCCTTAGCAGGAGTATCAGGGACCATTGATATCGATCTATCCGCCGAAATCCTTCCGACTGCTGGTGTGGCATCCTTGAAACAAGGATTGTCAAAGGCATATGCATCTTCAACGATCTCTGGATCCGTCACCAACACCAAATGTTTACCTGTGTACATACACACATACACATACACACATATATATATATATGTATATGTATATAATAAATGTATATGTATGTATATAGTAGAAATCAATTAAGATTGGTTTCAAGTTAAAAAAAAAAGAAATAAATAAATAAAAATAAAATAAAATAACAAAATAAATAAATGAAAAGTAAAATTAAAAAAAAAAGAAAATCAGATTTATTTGTTGATGCTATATCGGAAATTATTTGATTTTTTATTCAAATTCTAACGTTTAAAAATCCAAGCGAGCGATAGTTCTAACATTCGACGCAGATCGATTGAAATCGGACGACATTTCGAAATGGATTCTTTCTTTTTGTTTTTTTTTTTTTTTTTTTTTATAGGAAAAGAGATCGCAATGGCGTTCATTATTTTATCGTTTATTTTTAACGACAACTTGAGTATCTTTTAAAGACCCCCGACTAATGAATATAGAACTGTATATATACATATATATATATATATATATATACGTGTAACATTGTTTTCAATCGATTAGAATTCTAAAAAAAAACTATGATATCAAATATTTTACGTAAGCGGTACATCCAGCTGGAATAAAAATATAATAGAAATAATAGCAAAAAGATAATTACAATTATTATTAATCGCATATTGAAATACGTTAAACATTGCCATTTTCTAATTCTCTAAATACTTATGTAAACTTTATTTAAAAAAAAAAAAAAAAAAAAAAAAATTAAAACTAATTCGAATGATTGACAAATGATCATTAAAATTTCTTCCCAAATTATGATTGTTAATTATGGAATGATCGTTAATGATTTGTTGATCATCGAATGATCGTTAAAATTTCTCCTCCTAAACAATGATTCAATGTGTAAAAAAAAAGAAAAAGACCCGCACAAAAAAAAAACAAAAAGAAACCTTTTCTTCTCGATTCAATGAAACGATGGAAGGATTTCCAGAAGAAAATACGTCGTAAATTAACGCCGATCCTTCGTCCACTTTTCACCGGCATTTCTGTCTTCACGTTTGATGAACTCGAACGGAATCTTTACCGAGTCCAACGTAGACGTAGACGAAGACGAAGACGACGACAATGACAACAACGACGAAACGTGATTCATATTAATCGTAAGTAGAAGTACTTATGGCTCAGGTAGCACGGCTAATATATAACGCAATTCCATGTTTGGTATACATATCGACAGGAAGGAAACGCATTCTTTAATAAATACCAATACCAACGTCCAGAATATGTTTATGTGTGACACGTACAACGTATATCTCTACATATATGTATATCCTTGATGTTCATCGTTCATAAAGAATATTTATCACTTGATCCTATATATACATAAACATATATTATATATGTATATATATGCATATATAAATTTAATGTATTTTATATATATATATGTGTGTGTGTATATAGAATGTTCGAGGAAGAAAAGATGCGAATATATTTTTATTGTTAAGTACTGGATTGTGCTAAAAGTTTCTAGTTGGGTCAGAAAAATCCGTAGATGGGGGAGATTTTTTTTTCTTTTTCCTTTCTTTTTTTTTTTATATCAATTTTAAAGGAAAAAAATTTTTTTCGTATATTTTTTAGATTATTTTCTTTTTTTTATTTGTCAAATTGTACAATGCACAATTATTATTTATTTATTATCAATGTATTGTATACATATAATATTTATTATATATATTTATTTTTTTATTCTGTATATATACATATATATTAATTAATTATATATATATAAATATATATTAAATTTGCGAAACGTAGATAGAAATAATAGTTGCATATTTACTTGCTAAATGCATCGATTTAAATATTATACATGTACCCGCACATACCATAGCTCATCTTACGTAACTTGCATTCAGCCGGCTAATCATGCTTGGTATGCACGATCGATGACTCTTCGTTGAATAAAAAAAGAGAGAAAGATTGAGTGTATGAGGAAGAGAGAGAGAGAGAGAGAGAGAGAGAGAGAGAGAGAGAGAGAGAGAGAGAGAGAGAGAGAGAAGAAAATAGAGAGGTGGATTAGGAAGTAGAGGAGAAAGAGGAGTAGGACGAGGAGGAGTGGGGAGAAAAAAAAAAGTTGAAAAGATGAACGCCTACAGGAATTTTCTTCGAGGAATGTCTGTGTTGTTTCTTATTTTCTTTCTCTCTCTCTCTCTCTTTCTCTGTCTTTTTATGGTCATCGCAATAGAAAAGGTACGCGATAGAACGAACGGGCGTGTGAGATCGATTACAATAGAAATTGTTTAGAATGAGGATGGCAGTAGCAACATACAGGTGGGTCGTTCGACTATCAATTATTGCGAAAATATATAGATATATACTGTACTATCTACTGTTAAAGTTAGTTAAATAATGTTGATGATTAAATAATAAGAATTAAAATGAAACGAATTGAGACGTAAGCATATTAAAAAAAAAAAGAAGAAGAAAAAAATGAAAAAAGAAGAAAAAAAAATGGTAAAAAGGAAAAAAATTTCATTTACGAGTTAATTAGGATTAATTATAAATGATTAGGTGAATATCGATCTCTTATGAATCGTTGATTTTGTAATAATTGGAAATATTTAATATATATATATATATATATATATATATATATATATATAACCAAAAAATCTCCATATTTATAACAATTAATAATTTATATTAAGTAAAAATTATTTTGTTCGTTATTCGTTCGAAAAAGATTTTTCTTTATATATAAACTATACATTCAAATTTTATATATAATTTAATAATGTATAGAAATTAAATGTATTATTAATTATATACTTTTTATAAAAGTAAAATTATATATATATATATATATATATATATATATATAAATTTTTATACCCACATGAAAAATAAAAATAATTAGATTAAATATGTTAATTTAATGAAACTTTTCTATGCATACACAAAAATTAAATGACAAACATTGTTAACAAATATTATCACTGCGTGCGTTGCATGTGATGTCATAGAGGAAAAAGAAAAGAAAAAAAAAAAAAAAAAAAAAAAAAAGGAAGATAAAAAAATGAACTCTGTTTATTCTCAATCCTTACGATCATTATTACCAGACGTTCTCACGAGGTCTGCCTGTCACGCGTGCATCGATGACATACTCCAAGAGTAAACAAGCAAAAGTCTCCAAGTGCATGCGTCTTATTACTTTTTAAAGAGTGCACCGTCCCCGATGCAGCTGCATCTTTTTTTTTTTTCAAACTCAACGATGATTTCAAATATTATATAATGAATAAATAAATAAATAAATAAACAAATAAATATATATATATATATAAATATATATACATGCATGTAAATTTTAAATAGAAAGAGAACGAAATTAATAGCGTTTCCCATATTTTCGTTAGCACGTGTGATTCTTGTTAATTAGCCTGGCGTATTAATTAAGCACAGAAACAACTACGTGTCTTCTCTTTCGAAACGAACATCTGAACAAGTTGGAAGAAAAAAAAAAAGAAAGAAAAATAGAAGGAAAGAAAGAAAGAAAGAAAGAAAGAAAGAAAGAAAAAAAAATTAAAAGAAATATTGATTTCTCTTTCTGAACATTAAATGTACTCGTTAAATATACAAAAATTAGTTCTAATGATAATCCGACACAATATTAAATGCATTGCAACGTACGATTTGTCCCAATAAACAGAGAATAAGTAAGAAGAAATAGAAAAAAAAGAAAAAAAAAAAAAAAACGAAGAAAGAAAGAAAAATAAAAATTCTATGAATAATTTCTTCTTTTTTTCACGTAATATTCACATTCGTTTATGTCGCGCGATTAATTTGAACGATAACGCGATGCAATTTAAAACGATGAATACCGAATCGTTAATGTAGAAAAAAAAAAAAAAAAAAAAAAAAAAAAAAAAAAAAAAAAAAAAAAAGAAAAAAAATGAAATAGAAGAATCACTATGAATCACTGTTCCTTTTTTTCCCCTCTTCTATGAACGTTCACACAAGCTCGAGTTATGCAATTAATTCGAGGGATAAAAATTATGTAATTTAAAATGCATTTTCGATTCGTTAATTGAGAGGTGTGGGAGGGCAGGGACGTGGGGTAAGAGAAAAAAAAAGTATCTTTAACAAAATCACGAGAGTCTTGATTGACTCTGGCAAGAGGAACGACGGAATCATAACAAATGTGAGTATATAGTATTCTTGTTAGGATGATACTAATGCAAACGTAGAACTATGAATACAACGATAACCGGTGTAGCTGGTTTGAAACGCATCTTGCAAATGCATCGCATGCAATAAGTCGAGGAATGCGGGTTTCACGATATGCCGAAAAAAGAACGTTCCTTTTTTTTCTCCCTTTTCTTTCATGTGCCTTCGAATTAAAGGGGAGGAAAGAAAAAAAAACAAAGAATAAAAAAGAAGTAGAGAAAAATAAGGGAATAGAAAAATAATACAAAAAGAGAATTAGAACGAAAGGCGAAGATACGAAGTGTGTAAACAAATATATATGCTCACTGAATCCGTAAGTGAAAGTGCTTGAAGAGTAAGAGTTACACAACGCATATCGATGAGAAGAGTACATTTATACTGATTATGATCCACATGGATTTAACACGTTTGATTTGAGAAGATCTTTCATCGAGATCTAAGTGTATGAAGACGTTTAAAACTGTAAAGAAAATTATTAATAAAAAGAAGAAGAAAAAAAGAAAATTATAAGAGCAATGCGTAACTAATTATTCTCATCATAATTTATGATCATAATCGAAATATGTCTTGATTATGATCCACATGGATTTAGAACGTTGGATCTTAAAGGAACTTTTCATCATCATGATCTAGGAAGATAAAGTTGCATGAAGAAAAAAGCGATATATAATTAATCTGATAATTTTGCAACCATAACCGAATTATATACGATTATTATACATCAAGGATTTAACATGATAGATCTAAGACATTTCACTAAGATCATTAAAAGATAAAATCATTTCAAATTTTATATATAGAATTAATTAATCT